TAGATACCTAAGATGTTTGTGTTTGCAAGGATAACTTTTATTCGTTTAAATTTCATTGAAATCGTTCGATAACATCAAAAATAGCGTGCGCCCCGGGATCCCGGGGCGGCGAACTGTGCGGTTCTCAATGGACGCGATCTGCAGCTCTATGGCCGCAACGTAATATCAAAATAGCTTAAGCGGCCAATAAGAGCTGCTAAACTGCAGCAATTTCCTGGGGTATTTGAAACCGAAATTGTCATCTGACTGTAAGGCCGTCGCTGATTGGCTGCTGATCTGGAATGACAATTTTTGTCATATTTTATTATCACGTGTGCGCCAGCTGACTGTGGTCATCACATTCTCCATTTTAAAATTATTCGCCGAATTACGTAACGAATGCATAAGAATTGCACATGAAAGACATAGTGAATCGGAACACGTTTCTGGTGATCGCCGCACCATCGTAGGGTTCCAAAGTATGTGTGCAACGTTGTATTCGTCGCAGCTTACTTTCATTGGTTCATAGTGGTTCACGTGCCCACAACGTTTACATATTACCCAGAGTATACATAGTTCAAATAAATTTCCTACATTTACAAAACTAAACTGGCGTGTTCCTTTCCGTCTAAATTTGGGTAAAACATTTTCTTTGCTGATTTTCGACAATACGGACGTAACTGCCCTTTGTCTATACATGTCATGATCGAAATATTGATAAAAATACATGTACGGTAAAAAACGCAGGTTTATTAGTTCCCATCGGACGTAGGCCGTTTTGTTTTGGGTTTCGTTTGTCCGCACGTGCTTCCGTCTGTCCACACGTCTGTCCGACATCGTCTTATCATGTGTGGACCGATTTTCTTCAAAGTAGGTACAAAGTCACATTTGTATAAATATGTATGTTGAATTGTTTTTTATTTTGAATAATCTCTGACTGACAAGTGGCCATTTTAGTCTACTAGTGTAAAAAACAACAACATAACATGTCATTAACCAATTATCAGGCATGTATGTCTTATCATTTTTTTAAAAACTTCTCGTGAACATCACACATTATCTGTTATTGGTGCGCATCATTTGTGTATGCGATTTGATTCAAAATGGCCGAACAGTGGCCATGTTTTCATTTTCACGAGTCCTTAGCCATCTCCAAGATATGCGTTGACAATTTATCGTTCTACGTTGGTATAAAAATAACGACATGATGGTGTGTATATTGTTGGTAATCAAATTCAGTATCTGTATATGTATTCCCTCTAATATTTGAATGCTCAGAATTCTCAACCATTCCTACATATCATATGGACTGAGAAAATTCATAATAAATCTTATTTTTCCCATGATACATTGCAAAATACAAACGTATCCACGATATTATTCATGATATCACAGGCCATGTATTACATTTTTCAAAGATGGGGCATTTATGTCTTGTGGACATTGACATTGAATGGGCTAATCCACTATAGACATTAACCACAATTTCTTACACTGTTTAGCAATATGGATGCTGCCGCAAAGAAATCCGTATGGTGGCTTGGTATGAATGTCACACATACTGACGATCATAATGTCTGACTGGTAGCCATATTGGTTTAATTACCTTGTATCTTTAACCATTTCGAGGACATGCTTCGACCGATTTACTTCAAAGTAGGCACAAACACATGCCACAATTGTATACATATACATGTTGTTTTTCATTTCGGTGACTTCTGGTCGAAG